GTTGCGAGATGTTAAATGCCTGTAAAAATAGAGGAGACACCCAGAGAGTGTAAAAGGAAGGAAAAAAACGTGAATAAAACTAACCATGAACCTGACTCTTGGCTGCCTGATTAAGCCGCGCGCACTGTTGAATTCTGTCGTCACACCAGTGCGCGGCAGAGGAGCGCGATTGTGGAGAATTTCCTCCTCATCTGCCACCAAACCATTGAAGATGATCACCGTGCGATCACACAAACTTCCTCCTCGCGCAACTCTCAAAGGCGAGAATGCTGGCTGGAATGAAGTTCAAGGCGGCATTTTAGCAATGAAGAGACAATCTTCTTGTTGAACCACTTTATGATTGAACATCAATTCCTGGTATACAACCATACAGAAGGCCCCAATCACTGCATCTTATTCCCATCATTTCAGACGCGCATTTTTCTCATCATCATCATCGAGAGGCGCATTGGAGATGATCACAAAGTGTTCATCATACGCGCGGTACAACCTTGCAAATATTATCTAACAAGATCTTCCTGGTCTCTGGAGGATCACTTGGACAGAAATTCAAATTCTACAATCAAGTTATTCCACTTACTTTTTATGCATAAGCAAAGATATCTCTGTGGGAACGAATTATGAATTGGGATTTCATCGTATTTCTCTTTTAATTTAGACAAAACACTAATAGCTCGTTAATTTCGTATGAGTTGTCACATTTATCAATCTAAACAATTTTCTGCAATAAAATCATCCCGCCATTCTTAAAACACGGTTGAGTATCAGCACTACTAAGCACAAGAAATTTGCTTATTAAAAACCTTTTGTAAAATTGTTGAAAATGTGTTTAAGGGATGTTTAAATTAGTAGGCATGGAATAAAGAGCTAAATCTGACTGGGTAATAAATTGAGTTTTTAGTCTACCACAACTTTTCAAGGGAAAAAGACGCCAATCCTGTTTGTAATCCAATTAAGATTTGCAAACCTATATCAATAAATAGTTTTTAATTTAGAAACTGCGACATTTCATGCTTATAAACAGTGAGAATTCGCTTTGTGTGTGTTCGAGGCTTTACTCCAAGCGAAGTGCCTGGGAAAAGGAGCAATAGGAAATCCCTTCATCGTCCGACTGAAATGCGGTGTGCATGGTAAAATAAACTTTACGACTTCACTTTTATTATTTACACATCAGTTTACGCTTGGATGTTGATAAGAAAATTTGCTTGACGGTTACACAATACCATGCTCTGTCTACGATAGTTTCTCTGGGCGAAATTTTATGTGTCTCACACTTTATCTTCTCCCAAAATCACAAACTTCATAAAATACGTCTATTTTGCTCCTTCATCTCTCTCTTCATTTTCCCCCTGAAGGTCACTTTTTCACCGAATCCACTCTTCTGAGAGTCTCTTGAAGTGTATCAGTGTGAATGAATTTATCGCTGAGAGTTGAAAATTATTGCAGTTCTTTGGAATTTCAGTGAAAAAGAAAAAAAAAGACGAACGCAGAAGATTCTGAACAAATAGAAGAGTTGAACAGTTTGTGAAATAATGTGGCCATATTCTCACAGTCGAGATTTTCTTTCAGTGTCAGAAACTTTTACAACTCTTCTGGTGTGCTAAGGAGTGCCGCCAAACAGCCACAAAAAATACAACAAACCATCTTCAGCAAATATATTTATATATGTGTGCACAAGAAACTCCAAGAGAAGTCATTTTATCCATCAAAAAATCTTTTATCTTTACTCCGTCTTTGGCTTGTTTCATCCTCTTTCTTTTTTCTTTTATACTCTTCTCGGTTAAATATTATTTATTTATTTTACTACAAAAACCCACACACACTCTACATCTCACCTTCAAGACTTTCTTTGGCCACGAGATGTGTGTAAAATGCGTAAGTACCTACGCTTTTTCTCGTCTCTCTAGAGAGACTGTTGCTGGGAAATATGGCTTTCTTGCAGCACTCCTTCGAGACATCGTCACGCGTGGCGAATGGAGGGAAGTTAAAAAAAAGCAAGAAGAAAAGGATCATTTCACAGAGAAAATCCCCAACTCGTGCACTTCTATGAAAAGAGATTACATCGAGGAGTGTCTCATCAGAAGAATTATTTTAGGATAGATCAAAAAGAGGCAAATCTTGAGAAAAATATCCCCGGCAGATTCTTAGAAAGGTAAATAATCGAGTTTTCAACCACAACACAAGTGGATTTCATGGGATAGAATAAAGGTCTGTAATTTTACATGCTTTAGTGTTATTATTTGAATTTTGACCTGAATCAAATTGAGTGTATTCGAATTCAGATACAGTTTAGTGAGCTTGTATAGAATTTTGGAAATGAAGTTGAATAATGTGGAGCTAGGAATAGCTTTAATTAGAAGTATTCTTCAGTAAAATAAGCGTTTATCAAAGGCTAAGTCAATTTCGTTCAATCTGCAGCAATTCCTACTGTTGATTTTGAGAAATTTCACGACTCATGCCAAACAGTGATCGAACAGCATTGAAGAGAATCACTGCAAAAAGTCTGAATAAACTTGCATTTATTCGTGTCTAAGCGATATATTGGAGTTGAAGGCGAAGAGAAGATGGCAACCAGTCCAAGATCGAGGCCTGTGTGAAGTGTTTCATGTGACTCATTGTGCGGCCAAGAAGGCGAACCGAAGGCTCGGGGGTCTGCCGAGGGGGGCCTAGACTGGAATTAATGCCTGGAATGGAAGTCCAGCCACACATCACACAGCATAATGACACAAGAGCATCTCGGTCGCGTATACGAGTTTGCTGGAGCGACGAAGAAGAATACCCCAGCGACAATCCACACGGTGTGAGCCCATATCGAGGGGAGCCGGACGCGCGGATGACACGGTGAAAAGAAGTGAGCAAAGAGGCAACGCGAGATAATAAGCTGCATTGGGGATTGTTTGGCGTTGTTACGTTCTTTCAAAGAGAGAGAGACGATCGCAGAGAATGAGGAGGTGCATCGCCGAGGAAAAAACACGATGTGCCGTGTATAATAAGGAAAAATGGAACAAACTGGCCACATACACATACTGCAGGAGATCCACAAGGCAGAAAAGAGTTGAGATCTTTCTCACAAGTGCAACGCAGTCAAACAACTGTATCAGGCGGAGTCGCGGGAGGGACGCGAAGCATCAGAGAATTCCTCTGTGCCGTACAACTCGTTCGATGATCATCAACTTTTTGGGCATTCTTCTTTCCTTCTCTCCCTGTCTGCACGCAGTCTCCACGGTTCACGGGATGATTTTCACACACACCCATTTCGACCGAGAAATTCAATTGCTCATTCAAAGAACCACTCTCCGCAGTATGAGAAGACTCACATGATCATCCGAAAAATTGGAATTGATGATGAGGCATTCCTGCACTTAAAATCCGGGTTATTTTTCACCACAAAATCTTTGCGAACTCCCCACAAAAACAACAAGAAAAAACCGCCGGTTGCCTATTGACATTCTAACGATTCTATCGAATTAAATATCATCGGCATGGAAACAAAAAGGCGATTTGACTTAAGAAAAAAATAGAGAGATTAATAGCTTTAAAATTTCGTATAAATCGACAGATTCTACACTGGAAAGCTACCTACACAAGATGCTTGTGTTGAAAAGAAATATTCCATAAAAGATAATTTATAGGTATTTCTTTTTGTTACCCTCAAAGGAATGTTAATTTCCCTCGCCTCATTATCAGGGCTGAACCGAAGATCGACTCTTTTCTGCCGACACATAGAAAAGCCAATATCGGAAAATAGGAAAAAGAATGAGAATTTTGGGATAGCATATCGCAGAAAACACACCACAAAAATAATTTCCGCTCATTACAAACCAGCCAAAGTATTCTGATATCCAATCTAACTTTTCTATTTATGTGCCTTTTAAAGACTGTCGTGATATTTTCCAGTCTCAGTCTTTCACAGGTTGAGCAAAGTGATTGGTTTTTCGCCTCTTTTCTAAACCTTCTAAATTCTATTTCGAATCTGATCTTTGACACACGTTTAAATGAATTTTTCGAACTCTCTTGGATATATTCAACACACATTCAGTCCAGTAGAGAATCCAGTGGAATGCAGATCATTATCTTTTTCCCAGAACCACAGGTTTGAATAGTGTTTCAGTTAAAACAGCCACGAGGAATCACTCCTTGTCCCCACGCGTGTTCACTGAACTGGAAAGAGCCCGAAATTTGCGCAAAAGGTCATCGAGTTCCAAAAATACGTGCAAAGATGAGCCAAAGATGAGAATAAAACTCGTGTTCTTGGTCAAATTTGTAAATTCGAATGGGAAAAAGGTTTTAGAGTGGCTCAAACAGAGATCTTTCAATAGTATTTCCCCATTAATTCATCCGATTGTTGTCTGAGGCAAAATCAATCCGCCCTGGCCTCATTTATTATTCCCAATTCATGGGTTGTTTTTTTTTCTCTCTTTTTGACAAAGGCCTGGCAATTTTGAGCTCATTCTCTCCATTCCTGCATCCCAGAGACGCTGAGAAAAGAAGCTGCATTGTGTGCCTGTGACTCGCCATTCAATACCCTTCGACGTCATGCAGAGCAGTCAAGTGGTTCTTGTCCTCTCGCCTCTTTGGATGCGTCAAGGCATCAAAGGAGCCCCTCGACAGGCACAGAGAAAGGACCCGAGAAAATAAACCTGATAGTAAAAGGGCAGAGAAAAGACACCCATTCGCTCCAGAGAGTGAACAATAGTGTCTCTATTTAGCAAAATACACACATTGTGTGACTTGCTGAGAATCGATTGATTGTGCTCCTTCTCGAAATCCTCAGAGGGGACGACTTTTTCCTGGAAACATCGCGGCAGGTTGTGAAAAAGGCGCCTATGATGGAATCTAACCTCAAAAAAGGTCCATTCTTCTGAAAGCATGTCTACTAAATACCGCGGCAAGAATTGACCTTTCCACAGCTCAAACGTGACAATAAGTACTCATGTGTCTCTTTTATGTGTACGAAATGCAAAGATAATGAATAATAATTGCTGTTCTATGATAATTACCTCAATGCTGCTTTTCGCAGAAGATTGATCGTTTAGAATTCAGTATTTACACTATTTTCATCACTCACTAACTATTCCCACTCACACCGAACACGTGAAAATTAAGAAAATTCTATTTCGGGGAGAGAAAAACTAATGAAAAGCGAAAAGATTGAGAGAAGAAATGTAAACACACCGGCAAGATGATCGATCAGCTGATTTCTGTGAAGTGTGGGCATTGTTCCCCCGCCAGTTTCGTTTAACGCCCAAAACGGGGCAAGATTGGCAGCACTGGGCAGATGAAATGTCAAAGTGCCACGAAAACGATTTGCAAGAAGAAAACTCCCAAAAATACCACAGTTTTTGAGTGGTTTTCTCGTGCAGAGGAGTATTGGTGTGATTGACAATTGCCGTGCATTTTCGAGACGATGGCAGAGCAAGATGTGACGAGTCTCCCGGAGCAACCACCGGCTGAGAAGAGTGAAGCCCAACAGACAGACCATGTCGCTGAGATTCCAGCATCGACGGTGAGATATTGTGTGGGAAAATAGGTCTCGGGGCGTGGGTAAAGTCTTGGATCCGAGTGAATGAACTGATAAGCCTCTCTGCCCAGCAGGTGCGAAGTGGCCTGGTTGAGTTGGAGAATCGTGCGACGCAGTTAATCCAGTCTATGGAAAACCTTAAGACGTCTCCGGAAGCCACAGGCGGCACTCCTGCGGCGCCGCAGACACCCGTGGCGGGCTTTCTGCCCCCCGAGAGACGGGATGCGGCTGAAATTGTTGCAGGTCTGGAAACGTTGATCTGCACAACAGACACAGACGTAGAGCCGGAGTACTCATTGCCACCCCTCAATGATGTCAGCCAATTGGCCCTAATTTCTCACAGTTTTGTGGCCTATCTCAGCCATCTACGGCGAAGTCAACTGCTGAGAGTCACTACGAAGATCGCTTCGGACACAAACAGATGGCTTTCCCACATCTTTCGCTTCAGCGACAGCTCCACGAGTTACCACAACGACAGCACTGAGTGTGTGCTGAGGGCTGTGCGACTGGCCATCGTTGCCCGATGTCCCGGATACCTGGAGGCGGGAATTCAAGCTCTGGCCAACCCCTGCATGTATGTGACTGAGAATAGTGGCCTCGTGGCACTGCAGTACGCTTGCCGGCAGCTGGGACTGCCGGCTGAGTGCATTCGTGTGGTGCCCAGCACTGCCGGTAGCATGGGCACAATGGATGTGGCTACTCTGCAGAGGCTCATTGCGACGGACGTGGCCAACAAGCGTGTGCCGCTGTTTGTGATTGCCAATGTGGGAGCTTCGGTTTGTGGCTTCGTGGATAATGTTCCGAAACTCTACGATGTCTGCCGGACGGCGAATGTGTGGCTTCACTGCCGAGGTCACTCTCTGGCCGCTCTGGCCACGGCTCAAGGAAGCGGAGATGTGCGTGAGCTCTGTGACTCCATGTCTCTAAGCCTGGGTAGTTGGCTGGCCGTGCCAAGTCTTCCTGTAGTGGTAATGCTTCCCAAACACACACTATTTGTTCAAGTAACTGATCTTCGACGATCTCTTTGCAGCTGCTGCATCGTCAAATCCAAAATGTGGCCTTGTCTGTGTTTGAATCCGATCCAATTGTGTCCAGACGACTCAATTCTCTCACCTTGTGGACAACTCTGCAAGCACTCGGCCGTGATTTGATTTCCGACAGAATCTTGATGGCTTTTGAATCCGTGCGAGTGGTTTATGAAATCCTCTCCAAGTGTGCAGGAGTGCGAATTTTGGTGAGTTTTCTTTGTTAATAGATTCAGAAATAAAAAGAAAACATTCGAATTGATGCGAAAATCATTTACAGAGCAAGAAACCAGGAGGAGATTCCGGAATATCCGTCGTGGATCTTGTTCATGAGCCTCTCAATGCTTCGGTAAGCAAGTATCTAATGAGAAATAGTCATTTGCTCACACAATTCTCTTTCCAGCTCTTATTTGAGATCTCCGTGAGTGTCGTGGTGTTTCAATTCCACCAGAAATCCCCGGAAACGGACACAGAGACCGCTGTTCAGGGTGAGCATGTAGAGAAATCTCGCTATCTGGATCGCATGAATGAATGGCTGGGCGAGATAATCCAGCGCGATTGTCCGGGAGTTGATCTTGAAATCATTGATCATGCTGTGTACGGTACTGCCATTCGCTTCTGTCCTTTCGAGATGAGTCTCGGGGAGGCTGTGCCCACGATTGAGTATCTGGAGCATTTTGCTGCCTGTCTGGACCTTCAGGTGGGCATCTTGAAGGCCACAGAGCGCCACAAGGTGACATTCCAGGAGATTGTGAAGCGCAGCGATGTGCTCAGACTCATCTCGTTGCCGGACTGGGCGGGACTTGGCGGCGTGCGCTTCGTGCCTGATGGCTGGGAGACTCTTCTCACGGACCAGGCAAAGACAGAATTGAACAAGCTCAATACTGACCTCGTGGAGGCGCTGAGGTCCACAGACAGCGCCTTTACGCTGGGTGAGGGCGAAGATGGACTGATTTGTGTGAAGCTGGGCATGGTGACGGAAGAGACGGATGTCGAGGAGTTGTTGGAGGTGGTGATTTCCGTGGGCAAGAGTGTCCAGGAGAACTCGAGGGTGCTGGACTCCATGTCGGAAATTGTAAAGAAGGGCATTGAGACTGTGACTGCGGATTTGCAGAGGGAGTCCGATGAGAAACTCTGGCAGGATGGGATTCTCAGGCATGTGCCGATTGTGGGAAGTGTTTTCAACTGGTGGTCACCGCCGCCTAAGGAGACTGGCATTAAGGGGCGCAGTCTCAACTTGACCCAGGGAGTCGTGGAGAGTACAGAAAACATCTACAAGTGAGATTACTTGTGCGCATAGGACACAACATTAGAGATTAATGCCTTGTATTTCAGGTATCACATGCAAATTGCTGGCGGTTCCATCCCAATTCCTGGCAATCGCAGCCCGCCAACGCCCATGGTGCAAACGTCAGTCAGTGCTGGACATTCCCGGAATGTTAGTCAGAGCAGTGGAACGTCCACGAACGTTCAAGAAGCTCAACACTAAGTGAGAGAATCTACAATTGGCAATTAACTAAAGAGAAAACATGATGAACTTATGCTAAACTTAGTATTTACGGCTATTCTTGTAGAAACTATTAAGAGAAATTCCTATATTGTTATTTTATCACTTTATTTACTCTTCCCAAATTCCTAAATTTTCTGCTTCTTAATTTACTATTTCTAAAAATGTGTTTCTTTTTATTCTCTCCATACGGAGAAAAAAAAATACTATTACCTTTATACTTGTAAAATTCGATTTAAAAAAATTGAAAGAGTTATTCTTTGATGATGCCCACAAAGTATGTAAAAAAAAACAGGTGAAATATTGCACAATATTGTGATGAGTATAAATTAAAAATGTTAGTTTTAAATCAGATATGATTTAGTTAAATTATAATAAATGTCAAAGAACTTTTATTGCACTATTTTTCTTTTATTATATTTGTTTAAATTTCTAATATATCTAGAAAACCTTTTATCTATTGCCTTTTTGGTTAAGTTTTCCCTCCATTTACGTTTCTCTTCTTTTTTTTGATAAATCTATGAACTCTAGTGTATTCTCTTTTTTATATCTCTTAATATTACAATCATAGTTTCTTCTCTATTTTATTCGTTATTGTGGCATTACAAAAAACCAGTGAAAAAGTATAAAATTGATTTAGGTAAAAAAGTATAAATAATAAGAAAGAGATCAATAATAAAAGTGGAGTGTGTTTTATATTAGTAGACAAAAAAATGAGCGAGTCTTATTCAGTTTCATGCGTATTTTCTTTATAGTCAAAATGAGATTCACGTCCTCACTTACTTTGCGAGTTATCTCTTTTTTAATTTACTGATTAATGAATTTGATTAGTTAATGAGAATTGTCTCCTCAACATCAAAGTCCTCTATAGCATTTTCTCATAAAGTCACCCTCCTTTGCTCACATTGATAATATCAATATTTTTGGGGATTATATTTTGGGGTTCAAAGAGGAACTCCTTGCCAACATTTTCTTCTTAATTCTTATACTTGAATATAAATATACATTAGACATTTAACTTCTTTTTTTCTTTTGCTTTTCAAGTACTTTTCCATCCACCTTTCTATCAAGGTATAAACTAATTTTCATTACAATAGTATTTCTCTCTGTCTCCCATACATATATTCCGTCTTTCTATACATTAAAATGTGTATATAAAGGATTGAGATCAAAAATTGTGACTAGAAAATTGAGTGTTTTCATTTTTAATCAATTTCTTTTCTTTAATATTGTGTATATATTCTTTGGTTCTTTTCATATTTCTCGCTATTTTTATTTATTGGCATTGTTAGTTATCAACTCTATTGCATTCTATGAGTATTTTCCACTTATTGTTTGTTTCATTCTCATAAAAAAGACGCTCGTGTGTAGAAAATCACTATAAAAATTCCTTTGAAATACGCTTCTTCATATCAACTATTTTATATCATTATCATCATCTTTGATAAAATCAGCTCTCACTAATAGAGGATCGTTTAAGATTATTACACATCTTCTTATGTCAAATGGATATTACAGAGATCGAACTATAATTTCTACACTATCTCAAATTTTCCTCTTCTTCTGTAAATATTCAACCAACAATTAAAGTTTATTTGAATCATCTAAAAAAAAAGTCGCAGCGACTGACGAAAATCATACTCTTTCTCCACTGTTTCATCACTTTTTCCAACATCGTAAATTTAGATCTAAAGTCGTTGTATTTCATCTGATGTTTGAGTGATTCTAACAAAAATTATTCTATTGTGTGTATTTTTTTTTTTTAGAAAAGATTTGGCACTATAATTCCCGATATTAAACTATTCTTTCTTATTGAGCTTGAGTTTAACTCCAATTTGGCGAATATTTATTATGTCTTATGAACAGTTGAAACAAAGAGTGTGATAGTCTTCAAGAACACTTGCATATTATTATTATAAATTTCTGGAAAAAAATTCAACAGCAATTTCTCTGTTGCTCCCTCACTGACAAAAACACAACAAAATCCTCCCGCACACAGTTCATCAGGTCCAACATTTCAAACCTTCACTGACTGCGGAAGTCACATTTCTTTTCCTATTTTTTTTTCATCCTTAGTAACTTCGACTCACCCTCGATATCTGGGCTTTTCCATCATATTACAAAAGAGTGACAATGATTGCACAATGAAAGATAGTACTTACAGCGATTGAGAATGAAGAAGAAATGGGGAAGAGGCCTGCAGCGACCCTTGCGTCTTTACAATTCAGTCACGGCGTAGTTTGACTCGTCATTGGGATTCATAGAGGTGGGCGTTGTGGTCGGCGGAACCACAACTACTGACTTACTCTCTGGGGGCGCTCCTTTGACCGCTACACCGCCCAACTCACTCGGCAGCGGCGAGAGAATCTTGGGCGGCGGAATGGCCTTTGCATTTGGTGGCATTTTAAGTGTTCGTTGTTGATTTCGCGCCGTGGAGACCTTCAACTCTTCAGCCGACAGCACTTGCTCATCGCCCTTGTGCGGAATCTCCGGCAAAGGGCAATTCAAAATAGCCGGCTTCATGATGCCGCCACCCTTGCCGTCGAAACGCCCTCCCTGGCGCATCGTTGAGCACTTGTAGATCTGCTTGTCACGCTCGTACATCGCACTGTCCATGGCGCTCGGAATGACGTCCTCTCGCGCCACTGGGCGTCTCATCGTGGCCATAGAGCCCACGGCGAGCGGTTGCTGCTGTGTCTGGATCTTCACCTGATGCCCATCCGAGTAGTGATGATGATGGTGGTGAGCGTGAGACGAGTTGCCGTGCGGGTCGCCACAGGCGGCTGAATTTCAGTAGAAGTCGTTTGCCTCCAGCGTTTTGCACTGCTTGCTGAGCGTCGCGTACTTGCCATTATTGGGACCCGGCATATTGTGGCCAGGACTGTGGTTGTGCGACGGCAGACGACCCAGGGTGTGTGTGCCCATCGGGCGCATCGTGCCGTGGTGGGGATGCACATGTGGGTGAGCCATCATCTCATGATGCCTCTTCCCACCGTGGGCCAAAGTGTGAGATCCACTGATGGCTGGTGGTCTGGAAAATTGGAAGAGAAAAATTAGACATAAAGAAAAATTTAATATTTCACCGACAGACTATGAATAAATGATGTCCAACTCACCCATTATGGTTGCGAGGCAGTGTTCTGGCCATAGTTTGATGATTCTGTTGCGGCTGGTGGGAAATGTAGGAGGGTTCCTCCACTTGGGAATAATCATTTCTACAAAATGAGACAGAACACACGTGTCAGTGGCAATAAAAGCGAGGCGAGTCCAATTCTTTTACCTCTTGCGAATGTAGATCCAAGTATGAGAATCCACCCAAACCATAACTGTTAGCAGAATTGCAGCGATAAAGCTGGCAATGAGCATTAGCACTAATCCCATGAGGCCATCATCGCACAACCCGCGTGCTGCCGTGAGATAATTGTAGTGAATCGCCTTGCAGTCCACGAGGGCGGTGAGTTGAGTGAGAAGTCGCTCACTCAGATTCAAGTCCGCCGTCACAGCGCCCAACTTTGGCTGCAATCCGGCCGATTTAAACAGAACCAGAGACACCTTGGACACAGTCGACATGGCAGTGCGGGCGTTGTTGATGGAGTTCTGGGATTCCCGCAGACGTTGCGTGAAGGGATTCGAGCGCACACTCTCGCACTGAGTGTAGTACAGCAAAACATCTGTGGGCATCTCGTGAGGAGCTTCCGAGGCGAGATACTCTGCCGGATCGATGCACAAATCACCCACAGCCACGGACGTGGACAGGTAGAGTCCGGACATGAGCCAGGAGCCCGTCACGGCCAACAATCCGCACACACTAAAGAGAATTAGAGCGCAGCGCGAGTGTCTGGCAACGCCCACAAGAAGCACAGCGCAGAGCACGAGCAGGAGCGCCAGGATGGCCACAGTGCCCGGCCACCGGATCAACTCCCACTGGTCGCCCTTATTCAGGAAGTGCGACATCACAATCCCCATCAGTGGGCGACGAATGTCTCCGGCGGCATTGATGGCGATGGTCACGTTTCCCTGCACCACGTTCAGCGCCAGGATGAGTTGCGAGAGAGCCGTTTGATTGGACGCCGGCTGGTCAAAGATATCCGCCAACTCCACTAGCTGAGGCCTTATCTTCATCGCCAAAGTGTTCTCCAGAATGTGGGTCTGCAGAGATATATGACATTTGATCAGCCATCGATGGGACTGAGATAGATTTCTTAACGTCCTTGCAGAGGACCGGTCGTATAAAAGGCAGGATGATAATAACTTAGTAATCGATTCTCTTCACTTTTGAGTTCATTAAACTTTCATACAATGGATATTGCTGTTATTAATCACAACTTGAGGAGATGTGAGGAATGTAAGAAAAATCATCTCTGCATTATCTTGTCGAGTATTATATTGCTCTTATTTTAAATTTCAGAGTTTGCAGAGTGAGTCATCATATCCTCGAAACATGATTCATTCCAGTCACAAATCCTCGTCATAAAATTTCAGAGGTCAGATTCGATTTGAAGCTGAGATTTCGCTCAGAAATCGATCTAAAGCTACTTTGCTTGAGTTCTCACCTGATTCCTCACGGAAGACACGATACTGTCCACCTTCCGGCCGGCCGTGAGTACCTCCAAGAGCCCATTGTGCAAGTCGTCGTTGCCGTAGAGCCCCAACCCGATTGCGCCGCAGCACAGCACAGTGACGATGGAGAGCGTGATCTTGAGGCTCTTGATGGAGTGTGCAGGACGCGGCTTCCGGTCGCAGCAACGCGTCATGAGGTAGAGCAGCAGCCCGAAGAGCGAGACGATCAGCAGAGCGGCTGGAACAGAGCCCAGAATCCCGAGACTCTGCAAAGGTGAGGCAAAGTGAAAATGAGCGTGGGTTCGACTCGGCCCCCCAGGGAGAAGAAGTCGCTTTGTACCTCCAAGTAGACGGCATCCGTTGGCCGGAACGTTGTGTTCGCGATACGATGGAAGGTGATGTTGTAGTGCGGAAGTTTGTGGAGCAGCTTGGCTATGATGGGCACTTCGTAGTGGCTATCGATGGGTTCAGACATCCCCATGATGGAGTCCGACGACGGCAACGGGAAGACAAATCAGCTGGAAACCACACGAAAACCACCCCCTGGGCAGTGTTTTCCACTTGTACACAATCTTAAGCACGCACTGGAACTCCTCTGAGCATTCTCCGGGCACCAGCTAGGCGGAAAAGTGGGGCATTTTACGAGATAAATTTTTTCGCAACGACACACCCTCAGCCCCTAAATTTACTGAGCAATGCAGCGCCTCTCGCGGGAAAGTCCACAATAGCGCTGTCAGCAGGGGAGTTTTTTGTGGTCTTTTTAAATCCCCCATTCAACCTCAATTCAAGCAATTCAAGATTTGATACAGGAGAACACTTTATTCTTCAACTTCTATTGTAGCGATTTCCATCGCCTCGGCGCACCTCATCCTTGAACTCATCCATCCTTCGCGCCCTCTCTAGATAATCCACATCGTCCGCATCCTGCAGTCTGTCGTTCTCGGCTGCTTCTTGCTCCTCTTCTTGCGCCAAGTCTTGCTCTGTCTTGTCCTGCAGACTCTTCTGACGTGGTTCTGCGCTGGCTTTTGTTGGATCTGGAAATATTCCCTCTGCCACGCGCTGATCATAGAAATCCTGCACAGTCATTGTCGGCAGACTCGGATAACCAGCGCCATAAATTGCCTGCTGAACGGCATCCCTCGTGATAATCACAGGCTTCAAGGGTGGCCCTCGCGGAGGAGGCTTGGAGTCATCCTTGCCGCCCATCTTGCTGCCATACTCTAGCATTTGCTTCTCCGTCGCTACACTGGCGAGGTCTTCCTCGCACTCCATCACACAAGATTTAAGCATCTTCACGTAAAACTCCTTCTGCTGCTCTTCGTCCAACTCTTCCCTCTCCATAGCCACCTTCAGCTCATTAATTCTGTCCTGGAGTTCTTTTTTCTGCCGATATTTCTGCACTTTTGCATTTCTCCCTTCCGCCATTCGCATCAGCATTGCGATCTCGCCAGCAGAGCCGTCGCCTCCATTCGAGGGCCTCGCTAGTGCCAAGGAGACTCCCTCCGCCAGCCCGTAATCCGAGCAGCGCTTCAAGAAATCTCTGTAGTACACTTCCGAAGCATCCACGATTTCCTTCCGATCGCCACCGCAGAGCTTCTGTGTTAGTTGAGCGAGGAAATAGGGCAGAAGTAGGTACTTCAGGTGGTTTGTGGGAATTTCCTCATATCGTTCATTCGAGCTGAACATCCCGATTGCACTGACCAGGCGAGTGGCATCCTCAAAGAGTTTCATGCATCTTTTGATTTCCATCTGAAAACACAGCAATTACGAATGATCACATCTGAAAATTGGTTGGTGGGCATTTAGGGTATACCTGAAACTCTGGGCTGTTGGTCGCATCGTTTCTCTTGTCCAAATTCTGTAGAGATTTGTGACCTTCCTTGAAAATATCATTCAAGGTTCGATCCAGGGTGACTTCTTCACCCAAAGTCGCCATTTAACACTGTTTTTCTCTCTTGTTTCTCAGAATTCCCCTCCCTCAACTAATCAGACCTAAGCTAGCAGCGACTTTTCAAGAATTAAAATAGAATTGAATGTATTTTGAGTGGTTTTCCTCTTCTATTTTGCAATTGTGAAAAATCACGTAAAAAATGCGTAATGATGCAGCTGTCAAAACAAAGCAAGATCCGGCGAATGATTTGTACTCAACGGTTCAAATAAGGATTTTTTATTGGATGAAGTTCCGTTCAGAATTTCTGTCATAATGTCTCCTTTCTTATCTTCCAACGCGGGCTTTCTTGCGTACCTTGTGTAGCCATTGCGTAATATTCTTAAGGAAGAACAAGAGGGAATACTCTACCATAGCGTAGATGTGATTGTCGATGATTTCGAAACTGTTCTCAAGACTGTTCGCGCGGCGTTCGCCTTCTCGCTCTCAGCGCGGTGCAGGGTGTAGCGGCCAGCAGGTAGTTCGCATTTTGACATCTTGTCGCGTCTTGTGCACATGCACTTTATCTTTGCCGGCTTCACAAACGGAAAAGTTTACTAAATGTCGAGCAAGAAGCGCCAACCGTTTTTCTTCTTCATGCTGGAGATTCAGAAGAAGAAGGCGGACAAAGGGATTCGGCTATCTATGCGAGAGATGCCAGAAATCGCATCGCCATTGTGGGCTGTAAGTAAACAAAGTCTCGTTGTCCGACAGATAACTTCCAGAACTCCCCAATTTTGCTTGCAGAACATGTCCAAGGCTGAGAAGCGGCCCTACGAGGAGAAGGCGAGGTACAGCAATGCCGAGGCGTCAGGCTCGGGGGGTCGCAAGACGTGCCACGGAGTGGACTACTCGCTCGTGGAGCAGGAGCAGCGACAGGCGGCAACGAAGGAGAAGAAGATGAAGGAGGCTGTGAGTTCCATGATCTCGAAGGCGTGCGTGAAAGGCATGCTTGGCTGTATGAAATTCTACGTGATTCACGTGAATTACTTCTGCGAATCTCGTGCCAATGGCAAGGTGAAATATTCCGCTGCTGAGCTGGCGATTTTGGAGTTCAGTCTGCAGGACGGCGTTGGCCGCGGCATGCACATGCTCATCAATCTGGACACCTTGCCGTACGGATTCACGTTCGAGGCTAAGCGCCACAGCAGTGAGACGCACGACTTGCCGCTGCCGCCTCAAACGGTGGGCAGCATCAAGATCCACGAGGCCGTGTCCGAAGTCATCAAGTTCATCGACTATGACAATGACAATTCCGGCATTATTTTCACATTCGACGATCATGTTTCCGTGGTGAGCAACATATTCGAGGAAGTGCTGAGCCAGCACAGCACCGATCTGTTGGGATATCTGCGCTTCTACTCTCTCTCGGAGCTGCTCTTCCATCTCAAGAAGGCCACATACAACTTCGCCACCAACCAAGAGCAGTCGCAGACCTTCGCTTCCGTCTTCCTGGCCGAGAGCTACCTCGAGCGCGGCACCTTTGACTACGCTGAGGGCATGGCGTGTGAGTATCATGAGGAAAACGACCGGGTTGTGCACTGCTCGCAAACGAAGGTCCGCGGCTGGGCGTACTCCATCATCCACAGCTGCGCTCCTGACCTCAACATCGATTTCGTGGAGGGCAAGCACGAGCCCCAGAATACCATGGCCGCGGGGAAGAGCACATTCTCGGATACTGCATCTGTGTTCAGCTATCCGGACACGGACGTGACGTCTGAAATCAACGTCTTCAATCCGAGCTGTATGTCCAGTAAGTCCTCCGTGGCCAGCACCGCGAGCACCATCGTACACACTGACGACTTCCTCGTTCTTCGCGGTGAGTTTACTTTTTTCATGCACTCTACCGTTTATTACCCTCAGTTTGAATATACAGGTGGATTTCTTACGTGTAAAAATTGAAGAAATAGGCAAGAATGCAATGTCACGAAATCGAATAACTAAGAATAGAAGACGGCTGATTGTGTTAAGAAAATGATGTGCTATAGTTTAACCTCTAGTCGAGATTATAGTCACCTATTGTTTATTCATAAATCGAAATTGAAGATTTTAAGGATATTCTTGGAAATGTAATCTACAAGTTAAGTGAAGTGATTTCTTATTTACTTTTTTTCTTTTATTTGCAGATTACAAGCGTGGAAAGGGCCGAGGAAATTTACTTTAATTTCAATACTTCATGTCATTTTGATTTCTTTCCCTTATCACGTTATGAATTCTTTCTTTTTTTAATTACACATTCTGCCACAGGCTTTTGTCTATGAGGCCAATAAGTCCTGAATTTACGCTGTGAACCTGTGAAGTGCCAAATGAATTAATTTCATACCTGAATAAGAGTTATTGATAAGCAATATAGAAATGAATTACAAATAAAATTTTTATTATAAAGAGAAGAAAAAGAAAATAAATAATTCGAATTCAACTTTAATTACGTTATTTTTCTACGCCTCAGTTTGCCTTGAGCGAACGGCTCCGCTGTGCTGTATCGAGGGTTTTCCTGTGAATTGCACTGGCTTTGTGTGCGTGTGTTTTGTTTAGGTGCCGTCACAGACTGGATAAATCACTTTTTGGGACAGAAAATGAGCTATTAAATGGCTCCTGTGGATTGTGAAAAGCTACTAAGCTTGTGAAGAGGAGTGTCACTGTGCGAGCCAGATAATTGCGCATTTAGATTGGCCTGGTGTCGTGCGTGCTGGTCACTGGAGAGCATCCTTCGGAAGCTAACCTGAAAAGTCCGTGCTGGGCGGTGTTTTAATTGCACTGAGCTGGCTTCTGGGGGCACTTGAGCCGCCCGAGGGGCCACAGAGTCGCCCTCGTGGTGTCTAAGGGCAAGATAAGGGGACAGTTTGTTGGACTTTGTGTTGGGAAGTGTTGATTTTCCGCGGATTTCTCGAAGCTATTTCCCGCTAAATTGATCATTCGACCAATGGATTCCATAATTGTATTGGACTCGTCAGATGATGAGGTGAGGAGCATCCAGAAGAGCTGGAGCGTGAGGTCACTAAGTTCGTCTGTGTTTTGCAGATGGAGCCTAAGCCGCCGATGCCGAAGAAGCAGAAACTGACGGCGACGATCCTTCCTACTCCTGTGAAGCCCATTTGTTCGGTCTCTCCGAAGATCATCATACAGACCATCACATCTTCAGCGGACTCCAGACCGAGGGTGAAGGAGATTCGCCGCATTACGCCCATAAAAATCGCTGAAAGGACGCCAGATAAGGAGAAAATCCGCCACTTTGGCGACGATGAAGAGTTCAGTCCGATCTCCTCGCCAATTTCCCGAGACGACAGGGAGAAGAGCGATCCCTCTGCAAGCACAGCAGCTCACGCCAAGCTAGATGCCTCAGAAGATGAGGATGCCGATGAGGTGCTGCCCATCAATCCCACATATCAAGAACTGCTGGACATCTGCCGGGAATCAGAGAACACGCCAGACATGGAGATGTTGATAGATAAGAAACTCATTCGCTACTATCGTGACGTCCATCCGGACTTTGTGAATTCCAAGAGCTTCTGCAAGACTGTGCGCAGTGTGATTGAGGACATCAAGGCAAATCCGGGGCTGGTGTACCTCAAGATCTCAAGCATCCTCGAGGAGCTGAACACCAGGCGCAAGAGTCGTGACATCGTGATGGTGAGTGATGAGCCCACGAGTTCGGTGAGTGAAAAGCGTCACGGGCAGATCAAGCGACTCAGCAAGGCGCTCTACTATCTGAAGAAACGCATCGCTCGTCTCGAGGAGACGGAAGTGGACTTCAACGATGACAGCCACTCAGCGCACATCCAAGCGGAACTGTACAAGAAGCGCGCTTGCCAGGTGAGTCAATAATTGTTTATTTGTTATTCACCAGCATAACTAATGTGTTGTGTGATTTGTAGTAGAGATTTATAGAGTATCTAAATATTTACACTTCATTTGCTCTCCTTGCAGATATACGAGAAGATTTGTGATTTGACTGGCGAAAGTAAAACAGCCCAGAGAGCCGTCCGCAAGCCGATCCGCTTCCAAGAGACGGACTATCCGGAATTCAACCGCGCCCTGCAGATGTTTGTCAACCGCACAAATGTCTTCCCCGACTCAATGGATGTGTACAAGTGTTTGGATCACTGCAACAAGCAATTTGGCTTCGGCCTCAGGAAGGATGAGCTAAAGAAGATCGGTAAGTGGCTGGCCATTTAGAAAGAATTTTTTTCTGTGGGAAGTTTTCGTTGACATTTCATCTCTTGCAGCTCAAGATGCATTCGTGAAGATCGGAAAGTTGCTACAGTGTCGAAGGAAGGCGGATCTGTACGAGACAGTGATGCATTTCACGGGATCCGAGAAGGATCCTGCGCTGGTGGACAAGGAATTAGAGGCGAAGTTGCAAGAGAACAAGAAGCATTATTCAAAAATCAATGAACTCATTGACAGGCAAGTTTGCTATTTTGCCTTTATTCATTGTGACTTTATTGATAGCGTCTCTGTTTTTATTTTCGGACATTCTAATAGTTTCGCCAAGAGACAGGAATCTGAGGCTAAGGTGAAGCAAGGCGATCCTGAGACATCATCTTCGGCTGTTTTGCCGAGTATTGATGAAGAAGGTGTAAAAGATGCGAGTTCAGGCGGAAAATCATCGCCCAATGGCTTCAATTTGGCTGAAAATGAGACAGTGAGGAGTGCCGTCGAAGACCCGGATGAGTGCATAATTGTGCTCGACTCATCTGATTATCCAAAGAATGACTAAGGTTTAGATAAAGTCACTAGTGTACTTCCGCTCACCGACAAATGCGGTGAATCGCGTGAAGGCATCCGGAAGGATCTCAACAATCGTACGATCGAATGGAGCTAATTTGTGAGCGTTTTCTGTAAATATAAGAGACATTTAATTTTATGGAAAATCAGACGGTGTTTTATAGTCGAAATTCACCTATCTTGGGCGCCTGATAGGTGCTCCTGAGTGTGCATTTAGATGCTCTTATTGTGCAGATCTCAATGCACTGGATCTCCTCGAGAATGTCCATGAGAAGCCTGAGTTGTGTTGGATGGATATAGGAGAACTTCTCTGCGATGTGACTGATGCTTATTCCGGGATTCTTGGACAGGTAGATCAGCACAGAGCCCATCCACTTGTCCAAGACGCGACGATTGAGTGTGCCATTGACGCGGATCCATGGATAAGGACGCATGAAGAAAATCTCACGCTCCTTGTGCTTGGACGGGCCACTGAGATCCTCTTCGCTACGCACGGAGATGCTGGCCGTTCTCCTGGACGATCTGGCGCGTTTCTTTGGAGGCTCTTCCGATGTGGACGCTCCAGTCTGAGCTTCTCTCTCCAGTCGTGTCACGTTGAATGACTTCACTACCCAGGGATGAGCATACTTCCAGAACACAAAACTGTACTCCACGATGCCCATCTTCAGGACGATGGCCTCTTGAATGAAAGTCTCCACGATCGTGGTCAGGAGAGTCGCATGGGACTCGCCAAAGCGACGTTCAAGAGCAACCATTGTGATCCCAAATTCCTGACATTCAATAATGTCATCTAATACACGACGAGCGCTCTTCTTCATGCCGCCTTCGAAGGAATCTAGGATTTCGTCAATTGATTTTGTGGGATTCTTAAGGATGCTGTGGTGGCGCACCTTATTTAACAAACTCTCCCGTCTGGCATCATCCATGTCCACAGCAGCTGTAGACTTGATCTCATATTGGAGTTTGATCTCCTTCAGTATCAGATAGTTGTCGAATCTCTTGCTCTTCTCACAGAAGTCGTCAATGTTGGAATTGGCACCGAGATCCTGACGAATTTGCCAGGTGTTGGGGATGAGATTATCAGTATCGTCCTCGCCGTCTGCCTGATAGAATTGCGTCAGCCACTTGGACAAGTCTTCGGATGTCTCATCCACGAGATCTCTCAAGATCTCTATGAGATTGACATTAATTCTGCGACACTTAATTTTTCCCAAATCCTTCACATCCCGTCTGTCAAGCTTTTCAGAGAGCTCAACAAAAGTCTCCAGAGTTTTTTCCAGCTGTTGCAAATCAGTTTGTGTGATATCGTCAAGACTATCGACAAAGTCTTGGGGATTGTCTTCGAGAAAGAGGCACTGAAAGGTGCATATTTCATCGAAAGACACTTCAGGGATGCTCTCAGTGGATTTCGCATGGCGCAGGAAGCAAAACAGGTGACTTTGAGGACTCTGCAGCTTCATCCACCGCTCAATTGAGAATTGCCTGAAGATGAAGGATTCATTGTCCTGGGCAAAGGCAACCTTCTTGTGTGTCTTCTGCTTCGTCGACAGCGTGTCATTGTCAAACTCCATGCTGGGCATGTTGCTCATGATGCCGTGGAAGCGCGAACTTATGCGCTCATAGGGTGCGTCAATGGAGTGATTGTTGCTGAACACGAGCAACTTCTTCGGCAACTCAAAGCTCACGTCGATGGTGCCCTGCGAGAGGAGTTCGGCAAACAAGAAACAACCACCGCTTATGCTCTCCTTGAGCTCAAAGCGATCTCCTCTGTTGCTCAGGAGTCCGTGGAGCTGCTGAAAGATGCCATAAGGCAGATGCAGGTGCAGTTGAAGATGATACAGTTGGGAGAGGTGATACGGGCCAGATTGCAGCGGAATGATCTTCTTACTTTTCGTCTTCGACGCAGACTTCCAGCATGTGATCAATTGGTCATTTCGAATGGCTTCCATTGCATTGGCGAGCAACTCGTTCGAATAGTTCTTGTACACTTCAAATAGTTGCAGGCTGTATGGAGACTTGTCCTTTGATGTGCACATGGAGCTGTGAAACAAGAGATAGATTGTGCACAATTGAATCTCGTTATTTGTCGTAGGATCTGCATAGCGTAGCTTAGGTTTCACAGGATTCGTCTCTTTGTACCACTGCCAGAACTCATCCAGAGTATCCGGCGTCCGGAGACTAACAGCCGTGAGACGTTGCGAATTGAGTCGATAGAACATCGAATTGAGAATGATGAAAAAATTAATCAAGTGGTGCTTGAGAGCTGATGCCAATTCCTCATCGTGATAGAATGTCTTCAACTTCTCCAGGAAGTTCTCACCGTACTTTCGGTTGATCATGTCATTCTGTCGCACTTCACACAAGCAGGACTCAACACTGGTCCTGGTGGCGAGGTTCTTCATCATGTATATAATCCGTCGACTGCACGCTTTGGAGGTCTTGTGGACTGAGTTCACGTGAAAGTGCAGAATGTCACGAATTGTCTGATTAGTCACGTATAAGTTCTTGCTCTTCCCCGTGAAGTACATCAGTGCAATGCGACAGAGAAGCAACACATTATCCTCCTCATCTGTCCATGTCACCCTCAAAGTCTTCATCATTGATATGGCCTTCCTGTCAATCTCATCATAGATCACTTTCCTGTTGCGCACTTGATTCTTCCTCGGAACTTTCCTCGTGTACTTCGTCTTGCGTCCTCGTCGCTCACGAACCATTGCCTTGTATGAGATAACACTGGGAATTCTGCGCATCACAGAAGACATCTTCATCTTCGGAATGACAATGTTCGACGTGGTGGATGGCTTTTGCACGGTCACTTTGCTCTTCTTCTTTCCCTTCCAACTGCTCTTCAGGTGAGCATGGAACACCGTATCCAGTCCTCCTGCACCGAGATGGTCACCCGGGATGATCCCAGTATCTCTTTCCAGCACTTCCAATGGTTGCCTAGGTGCTAATGTTGCCACCATGGCGGGCTTCGTGTGCACATACTCCACTGTGACTTCGCGACCCTCGAACCTCTTCCTGTAGCCCAGTCTCGTGGAGAAGCACACCATCATCAACTCCTCCCAGTACTTATCCACATCATTGAGGGTTGTAAAGTAATAAATTGTCATAGGATACTTCTTGTCTTCCACCTGCAAATAGCCAGGACTTGTAGATGAGGTGTCAATCACCGAAGCGTTCCTATTCACGTACACAAACAACGTGATGAGACTCTGCGTGAGTGTATTTCCCAATTGCAGGAGTCCCATGTAGCACAGCTTCTTCATTACATCGTGAATGTAAGACGTGTACACGCGGAACTGCATCAGATGCAGCCGAACCTCCTCTGGCAGCTGATTCAGCAGATAATTCCGCCGAATTGGATGCGCCAAGTACTCTCCAATGGGTGAGCTCTGAAGCGTGTTCGGGAACATCTTGATAATCAAGGTGAGCGGGAAGCGCATGAGAATGTCTTCAAACTTAATCCACCCCTTTGGATAATCCTTGTATTTCTTCAGCGGCGGAATGAACATCCTCCAGTCGTACTCCTGACAGTAAATCGGTGGCATATTGTCGGGCACGTCAACATTGGTGAATGGATAAGTTTCACGCCATTCCGTCAGCACAGCATTTTTGTCCAGGATATCATTCTCCATGGGCAATTCGTGCACAAGATAGAAGAGAAATTCATGAAGAAGTCGCAACCGGACAAACTTCGGAATGGCATTTCTGGTCATCGACATCTTCGGCTTTCCATCACTGGCACCAAGTTTGGCCGATTGGCGTCGCATCCTCTGCAGTAGCATCTGTGATTTCGCCCTCGAGATTGCGTCCAGCATTATGGGATGATCTCGATGCACGGAACTGTGACACGTAAACCAGAGCACTTTCACCGTTTCCTTCGCCTTCAATGTCACCTTGAAGATATTGATCCTGCCCGCGTACTTCAGTGTCGTGAGGATCTTCTCAAGTGTCTTCCGACACACCTTCTCTCGCTGTCCACGTCTCTTCTCGCGATCCACCACAATGTTGACAATTTGGTGGAGGTCCGTGAAGATAAGATTCTTTTCCACCATCTTCTCCAGCATCTCCATACGCTGCAACACCTTCACCGAGATTTGTCTGTTCGCATTCTCAGGCCTCTGTCGTGCGGATCTCTGCATGCGATCCATGTCTTCGATCTCCACGGAGATCTCATCGGAGTTGTCGTTCACATTGTGCAGGAGATGAAAGTAGAGATTCTCCTTGGGACCACTTATGTCATCGAAGTTGTCCTCTGGATCACCCGTGACCAGTTCATCGCCACTATTGCTGTCGTGTTTCTTCGTGAGCTCAGCCAGTCTGTCTTTGATGTCCATGTAGTATTTCGGAAGGATATACCTGAAAAGCAGAAGAAGCAGTTTAAATGGTTCCGAAAGGATTGAGTTGAAAACACACCTCATCATTCTCTGTCGCCCATGATCTTGTGTGTACATCTGCACCAGCCGCAGATTTTGCAAGTTCTTCATCAGTGCACGGCATTGAAGCTTAGTGAGATTCATCACTTTGCTCAGTTCTGTCTGTGAGATGCCTTTTTCGCCGCTCTTTTCCACTTCCCAGTACACCTGCCGCGTGAGAGGCACGTTGAAGAGACGCTGCGATACGCTGACTGGATTGAAGGTATCCTCTTCCACGTCCTGATCATCCTTCAGCCACAGCGAACTGACGTCGATGTTGGGATTTTTCAGTTGCATCACCCGGATGTTTTTCTCCTGCTTGCTTTTCAGCATATACTCGGCTTCCGTGGCGTTGGGGTAAATGTAGCGGTAGGGCACTTTGATGTCCGTCTCCACGTACCTGAGCAGCTCCTTGGACTTGAACATCCGCTTGGTGACAGTGAGGTTCTCGCTCTCCAGCATAGCCTTCAGCGTGTCATAGGGAGCCAGGCAATTTGGTCGAATCTTCAGGAATTCCACCATCTTCTCCACGGCGAGGCAGAAGCTGGACTTGTTCTCGCGATAGAAGCGCGGCAGATGGAGAAGATATGTCCGCAGGAGGCCCTGATTCGGAGTACAGCGGCAGTAGAGCTGCTGCGTGATGAGACCGAAGCGAACGAGCTTCTTCTTCATGTAGAAAATCGATTGAGGATCCTTTATGTAGCTCATGATGGCGGATGATCCGTTTGTAGTCTCTCCGCGGAATCTCGAGCGCCCCACCAGTTCCAGCATTCCGTACATCGTCACGGGCAAGTCTTTGGGCTTCTCCAAGTTGGCGGGAATGATGAGGGACTCTCTGTATGCCTGGCTGGCCACGAGAATAAAGGTGCTACCATACATTTCTTGAACCTCCCAGTAAGTCTTATCCCAAAGAGTTTCTCGTGCAATTAATAGTCTCTCATAGTAGAAATTGCAAATTCCCATCACTCCATCTTGATTAATGCCCTGACCATCCTTGAGTGTGTAGAAGTCATCAGTTTCTCCCTGAAAATAACAATAAAATCGAATTCAACCATTCCGATATCACAAGTCTCCCGGAAGATGCTCACAGTCGCTTCCATTTCTTCAACGTCAGTTCTATCGACGATTTTGATATTTTTCCTCGGCTCTGGAAGTTTGTAAAACTGTATGAAATCATGCTTGAGGATGTAGTTCCACGCCACAGTGTAGTAATTCGCATGATTATAGAAACAGCCTCTCTTCCCAAGGCGCCCCCAAAGAGCTAAAGAAGGAAGAATTTTATTTCACTTTCTACACTTTATTGCCGTGGAATACCTTCGAATGTGATGCCATCGAGTCCCTCAAGACCGATTTCTTCAAGAATTGCTAAACTTATAGCACTCATGACCGATTTATTAGTATTTTTAAAAGACTTTTTCCTTCATGAAATAAATGTAAACAATCACCACAAGTTATTGACATTTGACTTCATGTGAAGTTAGCTACAATACACAGGCGGGAAAAGTACACCAAAATCTAGTACTTCACGCATAAAATGCGCCAAATACGTTTTAAAAACGATATTAAAAGTGCAATACTTATCTTGAATTGAATTTTCTTTCAGTATTTTCAGCTGAAATCCAAATAAAAGTGTACAGAAATTGTAGAGAACTCACTTTAAATAGTTGTAAAAGATTTTTTTTTGAGAAATATTCTCACTTTTGAGGCTATTTATTGACACAAAGTTGTATATTAATAGTCCACTAGAGTAAGTAAATAACTAAATGTACATATTCATTTTGAAATTGTTCTAAAATCTTAAACAAAATGGCCTCCTTTAAGAAAACCTTTGATTACACAGCAAATATGTATGTTTTTAAAATCTACATCCATAAGATTGATTATATGTTTATACTGGAAAATATGAGAAATAAAATATGAATCTGTTCTACACAGTAGTTTCCGGGGTACTATCCTCCATTCTTTCACTTGCTTTGCATTCTGTCCAAATTTCCTTACTGTGTGCCCTTTTCAGCTGAAATTGGGGGAATTTTCTTTTCACTCTATTGCGATAATTTCATAAGCACTCACTATTATATGTAATTTATTTTTACAAAGAGAGTATTGACATCGCTAGGTTTACTCTTGGGATAGCATATATTTTAAAATGCAGTTTCACTATAAGTAAGATGCTTCAAAGAATTTCGCCAACTAAGAGGAAGGTGTTGTGTTTTATTTGTGTAAAAGGTGTACATAAAAGTGTGTATACAAAGATTATTTGGTACATTTTACAACACTTAAGGAAGTGTGCGGTAAAAAGATAGAAATGCAACTTTTTGACACAATATTTTATTCTTCTGCAAGATTAATACGCTAATTGGAAAGTGAAAACACACTAAATTGTGGCTAAACGTTTCCATTTAAATTCTTCTACTATCTTTTCATTTCTTTAAATGGAAGTCATATCCAAAAATACGATTTTCTCCCTTTTGGCTACAAATTTCAAAAAGAAAAAAAAATAAGGAAGTTTCTAACAGCTTTAGTATATTCATTAAATCGTATTCTTGGACAATTACTTCCTTAAACTTGACCTGCGGTCCGTAAAAATGTAAAAATTCTTCGCAAAATGTTATACTTCACAGCAAAATGTCTCAAAAAGGAAGTCATACTGTCCTACTCATGTCACAAAAGGTTTAAAATGCTTCTTATACAACAAGTTACAATATCCATGAGTTCAAATTCTGTGGGTATAATTTGGGGATTCACATGTACATTTTTGGAATAAAATTGGCTAAAATTTCCTTCGCACGCATTTATACAAAAAAGAAGAGAAACATAAATGAAAAGTCATTCATAAAAGATTTTTCCTTTGAGTTGCAAATTTTCTGTGCGAAATTGTAATCCATCAAAATGGTGTTTGTGATTTTGGCGGAACGGCAGAAGGATGGCAACATTGAATGGTGATGGATGAGTGTCTTTACACTTGGGATATATGCAAAGTGGCCACTGGTCTCTCCTCCTGATTTACCTCGTCCTCCTCAGCCATGGTGGATAGTCTTTTCTCTCCTTTCGGACTCAAGTCTCTAATGATGCCTTTGTGCTTCTTATCGGACAATCTGTGCGCGTGGGTGGCGATAAAATGAATGGCTTTAGTGAAATTGCCCACGAAAGGCGACACACAGTCTCAAAAAAATATGGTTAATGAAAGAGAAAAAAACGGCAGGCATAGGAATTTATTCACTGGCCAATTGAAAGGATCACATTTTGCAAAATACAAAATCTTGTACAAAATTTGCTACTTTCATCATCATATCAATTGATCAATTGAGGGAATGATCCTTTCAATTGAATGAACCAGTGAAGCTTTCGTGCTATGAATAACAGTGAAAACTCACCCCAAACTTATAAACTTCTTTGACGGAATAAGACTTCGTGTTCCATCATTCACTTGCTTCCAAATTGACGTCTTACTCACTTCCTCAGATATGTTTATTGAGCTAATGGGAATTTTCATGATATTCCCATTGGCCAAAGGTATTTGAATGTTGGGATCGGAATAGTCGTGTGGGGTGATATTTTCCTACAAAATCACAACAGAAGAAATAAGGTAAAAACAGCCTTTTTACGCATGTATAGAGATATTGCGCGCCAAGAATATCTTCAAAAATTGAGTTAAAATACATTCCTTTGAGCTATTAATTGCACAAACAAAATGAAAACACGCAGACGGCAAAATTGATGTGAATATTTGATAAAGAGGCCGGAGGGCAGTTGTATGTTCTATGTAACCCATATGGAAAAGGTGGAAAAGGAATTTCGAAGTGGAAGCGAAGGGTGAAAAAAGTGGCAAAAAAGTCATACTAAAGGAACTCAAAATAATCATATTTTTTCTCCAACTTTTATTATCACTCAAGCTGGATTGTTACATAAAAGTGCGTTTTCGAGCAAAAAAAAAATATAACCAAGTTCCGTTTACAAAAAAGACACTTTAAGAAAAATTTCTTTTTTTTTAGTACATTTATCTACAATCTAAAAGTTTTTATTCTTCATTTTCTAAAAATGTATAAAATATGAAAAAAGGCATTTTATCAGACTTGGCACTTTGTTTAGTAATTACTGCTTTCATTTCTTCACTTATCCCTTTGGAGATGGTAAATTAAAAGTGGGTGTTAAGGAGGAGTTTTGTAGCAAAACGGACTGTCTCGAATGATCAGCAGAAAATACAAGTTGACAAAATAATTAGTGATTGGTTAGAGACAACATTGATCGAACATATTGACTAAGAACAGATATACATTGACTAAATAATATTTAAACTAACATAGAATTTCTTGTAAAATGTGGAAAACACTGATATAATTATAAATCTATGCATAGTTAAAATAACAAGATCTAACCTTGTTTGATCGCATATTTTGACTACAGTGGAAATTAATGATAATAACTAGAAAGAAATCAATACTCTCGAGGAATATACAGTCAGGCATTACAAGAACGACAGCAACTTAGTTGGAGAACAGACACACACAGAGAACACATAGCGTTAAGTTTGGGTGTTCAATCTACGGGTTTCGGAAGGCGTTGCCTTCTCATGGCGAATACAGAAGGAAAAGTATTTGCTGAAAAATCCCACCTCTCCGGCACCATTTCCATCCTCTAAATGGTGCAGATCATCGGCGGCGGCACGTTTCGTGATCTCTGGCATGATATCGTCGAGAATCTTCAATTCGCGACGCGTGAAGATGCAATCAAGAGCCTTGCGGACCCCAATCATGACGACCAGCATCAGTGGGAAGAGGATCGATGTGTATCGGAAGGATTTTATCAGCCAGAGCACGGCGAGACATGTCAACTGGATGCAAGTAAAGAGATGAACTCGTCGAAGGGGAACCTATAAAGATCGAGAGGAGTTTAGAGTTTGCATTGACGAGACGATGAAAAAAGTTACTTGTCTGAGAAACATGTAGTCAGGCTGGTATTTAACTGGCATCAGCATGATGAGGATTCTGTCGAAGAACTGAAGACCCTTGAGTGATGAGACTCCCATGTAAAGGAAAACGCCAAAGAGAACTGGCATTGGAATGTGTGAGAGAAGAGGAGTCAACAGGACTGAGATGCCAATGGTGAGGAAGATTAATAGGTGCGTTCCACGTTGTTCGAGAACACCCAAATGACCTGCCGACCGGACGCCCGGGATTGAACACTCGGGCTCCACTTTCAGAGAATTGACGTGATTGATACTCAAAACTGTGGCCGCAACGAACCTGTAAAAGAGAAACGTCGTTAGGCTAGACAGCTTAGGCATGAATATGTCTGATGACAACTCACCATGGTAGTCCCATTAAGGAGCAAATTTGGATAAGAATGGCTAGAACGAAGAGATCGAGATGGTATCCACAACCCTTCTTCAATTTATGTTCCTTCCTATTTACAATCACAGCCGTTATTTGTTGATCCATGAATATCAAGATGGTGCCAAGCAGAGCTGGCAAAATGGCAACCACCGATGACCACACTGGATTCCCATTGAATGGGAAGATGAACCACCCTCGAGTATCGAGAGTTGGTTTTAGTTCCGTGGGCACTTCGAGCTTTGGCGTGGGAATTCCGAAGAGCAGATCAGTGAGAGTCATCGAGAAGATTGCAATGAGCACCGCAAAATCACTTATCACGTGACGAATCTAGTAGGCGAGGATAAATCATTAGACAAGAAAAGCAAGAAAGCATCACAAAATACTATAGATTTGAACATACTTTTGATGGGAAGAAGAGAGCATTCTTGAAATCCTTGAGAATAATTGACAAGAGGAATGTTCCCATAAACAAGATGAAGGACATGGGAAAGACGTTGGCATTTGTGTGATCAGGCTTCAAGCAGTCATCCCCGATGAGAGTGCCGTTGAGGGAAACACACATTTTCCGACTGAACTTGGTCCAATTGAGCATATGATCATTGGAACCCAGTGGCGGTGTACACACACAATCATACACTTCGGGTGGATGCATCGGGAACCTACGTCCGATAGATAGGACATTCTCAACGGCTTTAAAGATGAAGATGAACGCTATGAGGCAGGCAAAGTTTTCCTCCGTGAAGCGCGTGATGTAGCAGACGAATGCACTGGCATCTACGGCAACGAGGATCAGCAGGATTAAGGCAGTCCATGTGCCGATCCACAGACGGAAGGACATGTAATCCCACTCAACAGCTTTGCTGAACTCGTAGACGATTGTTTCAAAGACCAGAACAGGTCCAGTGGAGCCGAGTATGGTCAAGGGTTGTCCTGAGAAGAAAGCATAGCCAATTCCGCAGACAAAACCTGACACTAAAGACTCCATGGCCGCCATATTTTTGCCTGTGGCTTCACCAAGAAGTCCTCCAAACGTTATGATTGGCGAGAGGCAGGCAAAGTAGAGAAATATCCAGGTGGAAATGCACTTGAGCGCTAGCGCATCCTTGAAGTCTGACACATAGAATGGAGTCTTGCGCTTAAAGTCATTGATGAGACCACCAAAGAGTCTGCCAGTGCGGGACAGACCGGACTCTTCGCGGAGTCTGGCTTCCTCTTCTTGTTCATCGTGTTCCTCCTTTTCCTTCGGAGGCTTCTCAGCCGGAGGACGCTTACGGGTGTCTTGAGATGGAATTGCCGCTGGTGGTTCAATACGGATCGTTGGATCCCACTCGCCCGGTGGTAAAACCGTCACGGCGTCTAGAAATTCATCTATTCCAGCTAGCAAATGATCACGCTTTCTGGCCCGATAAGCCACCTCGTGAAATACTTCATCGGACATGAGCGTGGCCATGGCTCGACCGATTTCGTGGAACTTCTCCTGACTTCCCGGGGGACCAAGTAGGATGAACATGAATCTGAAACACGGATTGATCAGTTAAATGTTAATTGAGTTAAATGTATATTTGGCCTAGAAGCACTCACCTTGTAGGTACGGGTACTTCGGTGAGATCACCCATAATTGTCGCCTGACTCAGACGAATAAAGGCTGACAGAGTTTTATCCAGGAAGTCAACCTCTCCAACAAGGATGTTACTGGCTTCCGATCCAGGCGGAATCTTCCGCATGAACTGTGTGTTGGCCTTATGATCAGAATGATCACCGCCATTGCCGTTATGCTGCATGGAAATATTGCTGGGACTCTTGACCATTTCCTCCCCTATTCATACAAAAAATCAATTAGCTTCTGAATTCACGTGTGAACTATTTGAAGTATTTGAAGCGAATTAAGTGCGATCTTGAGTCATTCTAAAAGAGCATGCAAATTTCAAACACTACCCAAATGTTAGTGGAACATGCATTTAAATTGGATGACATGCGATATGAAGCCACTTTTTCCAATTGTAATTAGATGTATCTCAATTAATTGTGTGTAAATGGTTAAAGAAGTTACCAGGTGAGAGGGATAAGCCATTTTTGCCAGGCACCATCAGATATTTGCCACTCTCAGTTCCTTTAAGTGATGCTGATGAGGGGGCATTACTACCACCATTCTGCTGTTCATCAACTGCAAAGTCACACCAATGTATTGTGCAATGTCCAGAGAGGAGATGACTTGATTATGAGGAGTTATAATGGACAGTAATGAGCATTTGCTCAGTGCTACTCAAAGATATACTAAATCAAATTCACTTGGTCTTTCAATGCAGTAGCTTCATATTAAGTGAAATTAGAAGACTAATGATTTTCCGCACTGTACAAAAGCTCATTACCTCTGGGTCAAATGTGAGATACATTTTATGCTACCCTATACATACATAAGTAGTACCTTTAACCATAAAAGTGTAGTCTTTATAGCATATTTGATATGATTTGTGTACTTTCTTTTGGGGTATTTTACATGCCAAAAAGGAAGGTAGAAGACGAATAAAATTTTCAACAATCCATATAAAACAATTAGGAGGGAAATGTGACAAAGAGATGGCAACAATAATATATATAGATTCAATAAAAAGCGGCCAAATGACACCTTTAATAGGGAGACAGTGATATCATGAAGATGAAATCTACCAGATGTCACAAAGTCTTTATTTAGCATAGTAAAAAAATTTCTGATTCACACCTTCCATAAAGAAGACAAAGGACATAAAAAATGGATTCTAGAAGACCCGTGCACAGATTTCTCCGCACTTTTTTAGGCGCAATGATACTTCCGTTACAGTTAGAATGTATGATAAGATAAGTGGACATCTGTCATAAGAATGAGACTTGAATTCTTTAGCATTCTGAAATTTATTCCGGATATGAAGATTTTAGTGCTGAGCGTGCTGAGATAAAATCATAATGAATTCGCTACAATTTACAATTAAGAGTTTGCGTACGAAAATCTCATTTAATGTTTGAAATAACATCATAGTGCAAAGTTGGAAAAATTTCTGCACGAGTTTTGATGAGAATGACATGAAATAACATTGAGAATTATTTAAACGTGATTTGAAATAAAATGTGTGAACATCGGAAGCTGGAAAAGAGACAGAGAAGAGAGTCACAACATCTGATTGAATGTGGAAGTGAGTAACCTCGGGGGCAGTTGGATGCCCCAACGGGATTCCCAGCATGAAACCAGGTGATTACTCCTGCACCTGGATGTGAGTGTGTTGGCGAAAAGTCACCTACAAACACGGATTTCACGGATAGTAAATCAAGAGTTCTTATCTAATTGCCTCGGATGCAAGCTAAGAGTACAAACTACGTGGGATCTTGTCTGAAAACGTGGGGCTATCTAATTGTAAGGGAGTGTGGGTGGCGAGCGATTGGGGTGGAGTCTCCAGGGGTTGTTGAAGTACCTGTTGGAATGGACAGGTATCCCGATGATGTCTTGGGATTCAATTCAGAATCGCTTTTGGCACGATATTCGCGCGGCGATGGAACACTCAGGAGAACGGATGAGTGTTCGGAATTTGATGCTTGAAGGTCTGTTGTCCCCCGAAAGGACAATCGGACAGTAGAAAATAAGAATGTAGAGAAGAGATTATGATTTGGAGTAAAAGGCAAAGGATTTACTCACTCTTCGATGTGGAATGATTGCGTCCAATCTCCGTGAGGGAGCGAATAATTGGCAGACGGCTCATGTTGTCCTTCTTCTTGGGATCACGCTCATGCTGATGCCGATGGCGACGCAGCAGTGCCTCCCGCACCTTCTCGCGTGACTCGTGCGACAGCGAGCCTGCATTGATCATGTTGTCACACACGAGATCGGCCACTTGGTCGAGATTGGTGGCTTCCATGTCCAGCATCACCGTGCCGTTGAGCAAGAGGCTGCGCAGCTCGAAGAGCGAGTGAAGGGAGAGCGTGGCCACGTGTGGCTTTGACCAGCGGTTGCCGCCCTGCTCCACGTCCTCCTCGAACTTCACCCATCGGGCGGTCTCCTTCCACTCAATCTCATCTCCTTCGCCGCGCACCAGCTCCTCCATCTCCGAGAACAGAGGATGGGACTCGTGGGTGCCGCCATCGTCAATGTCCTCGCCTAGGATGAATTGCACTCTCTGGGAGGGTGGAGTCACTACAATGAGACAGAAATTACCATCAATAAATTCCTCTCTTGTCTGACTGTGGTTGTTAAACAATCAAGTGTCGATGTGAGAAAATTCCAGGAAAGGCAATTTCTCTTCATCTTTCCCAGATCGTTTTTTTCCATTTCATTTTCTGTTTATTCTTAATTGATTAAAATTGCCCAAATACAGAGTGATAAAGTCACGTACGCGCCATCACATTTGAGTGATTCGTGCTGATAAGCTGTCACAAAAAACAATTTGTTACCAAGCAAGAAATAATTAACATATTTGCACTATTTTTGCTATGGTTCTTGGATTATTTGTAAATTCCAATATAGTTTTAATGCATTTTGAATAGTTTTAGAAATCTTGTAAAGATGTGATGCAATTCATAAACAGGTACATTGTGAATTGAAGATTCTAAATTCTGGTGTAAATTTTTTCAATATTGTCAACTGCTTGGCTCATATGAATTGATTCTACATTCATTTACATTCATTAGATGTCGTCTGATAATAAATCTCAAATGCTATTAAATGTGTTTAAGTAATTGAGGTGCAAATATAATATTTATATTGAACATTGAGTGTTTTCAATTGGGAATGATTGCGCTTAAGTTTGTACTGTTGTTTCCAAGAGGAACATCGCTTAGCTTTATTGAATTTTTCCACGTTCAATTTAATTTCCCATCAGTTGCCAATTGTGTTAAATGTCACGATAATCCACCGAATGGACACAATTATATTTTCATGTGTGTGTAGAAATTCAATCAACTTATGAGAGAAAATTACTGGGAAAATTATGAGACTGAAATGGAATCGATGGAGTCTCGAAAATAGGCTAAAATATTTGTAAGCTTTTAACTCTAAATACATTGTGCGTTCCTCACCTGGCCTATCCACGACTCCCTTTTCGCCGACGTCTCGTCTGTGGTGCTCCTTGTGTCGTCGATGCGAATGTCGACGTCCTCGACCTCCGCGGGCGGGCAAATGAACTCCCACGAAGACAGTGTGTGCTCGATGACCTGTTTTGTTGAAGAGAATGCAAGAAAACATGCTAAAAATGATCAGACATCGATTAAGAGAAGACTATGCGGTATGTCTTTGGAGGGCACAAGACTATTCTTAGACCATTGCAGTGAGTGTTCCTTGGCAATTCAAATCGGTAAACGATGTTGTTTACTGTTGAGAACATCCATAAGGAGGCTGTCGTGTGTATTGAGTCAATGTTCTTACAGTGGTACTAATTTGCATGGTAGAAATGACAAAGCAGACTGTTGAGAGCGTGATTCATTCCTCAGAAATGCGGTTGAATGGCAGTTTAATTCGTGTTTCAAACTGGCTGAGAGTTTTGCGTGAATAGAGAAATCGATTTTGGTTGCGTGTCTTATCAATTGACATTACGATAAAATCCAATTGATTTTCCGCATGATGGGAATAATTTAAGGGTGTCGAAGGCATTTTATGTCTTAAGCACACTTAAGCCTTTCTGGTAATGGGGTGAGTTCTTTCTCCACTTGGCGCTTTACCTTCAAAATCCTGCTCCGTGTACCCTTGATGCGCATATTGCCTGGCTCCGGGATCTTTTGGAGCTTCATCGTCCACCGGCTCCATTGTCCAAAGCCTGTATGCAGCGAAGAAGGGTGGCAAGAAAAGAATTGAAGAGGGATTAGAGAAAAAAATTGTTGCTATAAATCCCCAATTTTTTGCGATTTATGAGTGTGATAACCCAAACATCAAGTGGATCACTCTTGTGAGGTGTGAACTGTGTGATAATTGTTCTGATTTTGTAACGCTGCCTTCTAATTGATAGCAATATCACTAATACGCCACTTCTCGTGGCTCTAGTGAATGAATGGTCAGAATGTGTGCTTTGATAAATGCCCGTGAATTTCGAATTGAAAGCATTCCTCAAATGTTTATCATTCTCACTTTTTTTCCCCAATCATTTTTCTGTTTTTCTTTCTGGTCGACAGAGCAGAAAGGGAGAGAGAAAAAATGTGTGTAATATCGATTATTGAGGTCTCCGTCCATGAAAATTAGGTCATTTTTGTGTACTTGGAATAATATTTGGTGATTAAGCATTTCCAGAGTGTGCCGCAAGAGTTCCATCAATAGCAACTTTTAATTGTGACAGAGGAACGCGGTTTTTGTGGGTATGAAAAACAGGAATTGATGTTAATTTCCATCTGTCGTTGCAGTTAATTTAGCATGGTAAACAAAGAGCTATTTAATGTGCAAAACGCTATATTGTGATATGAACTCTATATCATTTGGTGTAGTTAATTAAAGGAAAACAACAAGCAAGAGTATTCAAACAACACGTGATGATGGATTGACTCAGGTTGACTATTCGAGAAGTTTGAATCACATTTATTTGGGGTTTTGCCATAAAAAATGTTTAAATTAAAATTCTTTCTTAACCAAAATAAGGATATTATTTAGCTCAAAGTGAAGCATTGTTTTTTTCTTCTTTTGGCAAACATATCATGGTAGGCTTATTTCTTTCCTTACAACCGTATAATCTATTTTGTGTCTGTTTTGTTTGCTAAGGAAGTAAAATATCATTACTTTTATTCAGCTTATCGCTTTCTTATATGTTCTTTTTTAGGAATGCTATAAGATTTCACGCAGTCTTGCATTATGTTGATCATAACTGAGATTTTGTTCATAATCTTATGGTGAGTGTTTGAGACCTGAAGGACCTGAATAATGAAGAATGTATAAAGCTATGAATAAAGGCATTTCAGCGCTATACTTGTAATGAGAAATTTGATCATTTCAGCTGAATTGTAAACATGATGTTATCACGAATGTTTAAAGGAAAAAAAAAATCTTATACAAAGCATATTTGTAATCGAATATAGTTACTTGAGCGCCTCCGCAATTTACATGGCGCGTATACAGAAAGAGAAACAGTATTCCAGACATAACGAAGAGGAAAATGACGCGTGTTATATTATATTTCCGTCTGTGTGCTGTGAATTTCGCTGCATCGAAATACAATCTCTGAAGTCCATTGACATTGAACTCTTTTACATCCGACATAGCGCCGTATTTGCAGATAACGAACTAAGATGAACCAAAACCACATATATTGTCTGTCACTGGCATTTGCGAAAGTGTCTTCATTGCAAAAAAACACACGGCAGTGGCAGTCACATAAAAATCTTAATTTGTTGCGATACCACTGAAAATGTCTCTTCGAGGATGGAAAAAAATATTCTTCTGGGGATTTAATGCTATAATCCACGTTACCGGTATTAGAGACTTGCGCTCGGGTTTGCGTTTATTTTTGAAGCGTGGAGCGCGAATGCTTTGGAGGTGGCATATGTCTTCGGAACACTACAAATCGTCAAAACACAATAAAAGTCAACTGCGTGAATGTAGAACTCAGTGGTGTTTTTTTTAATGACTCCCCGTCATTTAGCGATTCATATAAACAGTGAAACGGCCGATTTGTGACGCAAATTTATTGAGAATCGTCGCTGTTAGGCCTTTGCCTTTTGGCATGCATGGACAATGAAAGAGGGAAAGAGAGAAGAAAAAATTCGATAAAAGTCCTAAAAACTTCTCGAGATTTTACATAAACACCCCTTGTTCTCATGACTTGTGTGTGTGTAAAATTGAATTTTGATGTGAAACGATGAGATCAATGGTCTTGTCGTGATGAAATTTGCTCACGCAAATTCGTGGTGCTTCGTTTGCTTTGAGTAAATTTGTTAGAATTTCACGATTTACGGTATTTTCTTTATGTGCGGGACTTTTCATTTAAACCAACAACGAAATTGCGGAAAATGAAGTGAAAAGTATGCGCGGAAAAAGGAAAAAACCGCTCATGAAGAGAAAATGTATATGGAAGTGACTCGAGAATACAGAAAGCCCAAGGCTATTGACACAAATAAACACACAATATTTAGAGTTGTGATTATTTTAAGGAACATTAACACCACTACATGATATTTACACCACAAATACTCGCCGTACTTTTGCATTTTGCCACTCATTCTTTGTAAATGCTGAACTGGAAGTTCAATGGTAAGTTTGACGAGGTTTTATTGTTAATGGACAGCACTGAATTTTGTGTGGAGAAACAATTACACATGAATTGATTTTGTGGTTAAGCGTCCAGCTAAGGCACTGATAATGCCATGGGTTGATGAATCAACAACGATCAGTCGGATGTCGCGTGGTTAACTGATGGCCTGATCCACTGGTCTCAGAGATTCTGTCGCCAGCTGGTGAAGCACACAACCGATGTCTTGTGGCCTCAGCGAAAGACTGGATGCTGTAGTCTTGTCTACAAACGCCCCGAGATTCTGCCACTCACACTACTCGTGCGTATCTCTCTTCCTCTCTATTTGATCAAAATATAAGATATCTTGATGGTTTTTTATCTGTTTTGTGCCACTTGGCGTCCGCCCTCGCGAGACGAAAGAAGCCCATAAAGTTGTTGACACATTTTTCTTTATCACTCAATCTCTAATTGTTACTCCTGTTAGCGAAATTGTATGTGAGACTATGGTCCATTTTGTTATCACACGAGTAACAGCTTAATTCTGTGCGCTTGTCGCAAGTCTGACTTATCGCAGTACGCAGAAAATAAGGAAATAGTGACGAAGCCTTGCAAGGAAATCAAGGCTATTTCCTATTATACATACTCTACATATGTATAGTTGAACTTGTTCAGTGAAAATGGGAATCTGTAGAAAGTCCAATGAGAAGATCTTTAAAAATTTGAGTAAAAGCGAGTGAATGTGATGATGATGGCAGAAACTGAGCTACATTGTGCGACTTTATTCATGATTGATGAACTTGAGTTGCGTATTTCTTATCCCTTGCAATGATAAAAACGCTAGTAACTTTGTATTTAACCACTTTTGTCAATAAATAGAAGGTTTTCTTGCATATATGGAAACGTTGTTTTGTGAACATTCTTCTTGTTATCAATCAATTACATAATCGCTGATTGGAATAAAAAGAGAACGATAGTTATCGATTTATTTGTTATTTTCTCACTTTGCCATAAAGCATGAAAGTGACACTTTGTTCTGTTGTCTAATTTGTTAGTATTTATTCAGCGTTTTATTCTTATGGTAATGCATTATTGTGTATTTTTCTCTTTTCAATAATATACACATAAATTAATCACATACAAATTGGTTGTAATTCTCTCTCTCTCTATATTTGAGGTAATTTTACAATTTCAGTTTCTGAATGAATGAGTCAGAAATGTCTCTCCATGATTATCTTATGAACTCTCTATCAATGACATGAAAGAATCCCTTCATGCATTCATCATGTGTTGCGACTGTGCATGTGTCATGACTCCACAATAATTCCAATCTCGTGTTTATTTTCGTCCACTTTTTCCTCAAATTAGAGATCTCCAGTGATTGCAGCTTTGATAACAGGGCATGCAGTGTTCATTTGGTTCGTTTTATGAACGACACGTTGCACTTTATTGTGGGGCATGGCACGGAAATATTGACTTTTGGCCTCGCAATAAATGCAGAGGAGGACAATTTCCCTCCAACCCTCAATCAATTGAAAGTGGATGATGTGATGCATTTGAGGGACTCTGCGTCCTTCCATTGAAAAGCTCTCCTGAAAGCTCATCCAGCGTTCTTATCGCGCTCTTTCGCTTTCCTCATTTTTGTGTGCGCGCCTATTAATGTTGAAATTCAGTGACCTAGTTACAAGTATATCACACTTGCCAATGCACGAGAATTTCCCCGCGTTGGCATTTTTCATCAACGCATGATGTGAACAGCATGAAAAATGTCCGTGAGGGGAAAAACCATTTTGGTATTTTGGTGCGAGGGATGTTCTCGAGATTATGGGTAATTCTGTGTTTTTTTTTGAAAAATTTACTCGCTATTGAGGAGGACTTTCGTGGCCATGAATTTGCTGCCAAGGCCTTGGTCCATGGTGTTGCTTGGGCGAATCTCGTGAGTTCAACCGGACATATAAAATTGATAAGTCGGCCCGTTAGAGTTATTTGATTACAAGGCGAAAATTGCGTAAAATTTGTACCATTTGGGTGTGAAATGACACTCGCTTTCCTGTAATTCCTGTCGTCAATTGTACATTTCCTCTGCGATTTTGTGTGTGGGAAATTGAGAGTAGGTGGTGGAATTTGTATGGCCTAATAGTGTTGCGGATGGCTTTTTATGTGTACCCCTTGAGTGATCAACGAAATAATATGAAATGTATTTGTGGATATGGCAAAAGCGAAAGGCAAACAGAGTGGGTGGAGGCGATGAGAGGTGGGGAGGGTGGTAAGGGAATTTGATTCTATGCTGGGAAACCCACAAAACAGGTGAGGTGTAAAAGAATTCGAGAGCTTGAAATTCCGGTTTATTATTTTACTATCAAATTCACTTACGATTATTGATAGCGCAGACCGAATCCAAAAGCGGATGAATTATTCACTGGGAATAATTATAAATGATGATACTCGGTGATAGCGTTATTTCATATCCAATAAAACCATGCGATGTGTGGCAGAGAGACGCACACAATCACTTTTCGGGATAGTGCGAGCGAGTGCGAAAACCCATAGGAATTTCAATGTCAAGCGGACCAAGAGGAGTACCAAGGAAGCAGTCGCTCATTTGAATAAAGACATTACCATGTCAGCCACTTTACTTGCCACCAATCACAATAATACAGAATGATAAAAGACTTATTTTTACACACACTCACTTTTCCCACTCCGCGAGATATTTAGCTATATGGTTTGTCTCTGAAGGTGGATTGTATCGATTTTTCCGTGCGCTCCAACGCCGCCAAGAGTTTGTGACAGAGACGGGGCAAACTTGAGCATAAGAACACAAAAAGTGCGAGTAGTAATTTTGTGTTTGTCTCGACAGGAGCTTTTTATATATATACTTGTGTTATGGTCTTCACACCCGGCGTCTCTGGCAATGATCGTCAAAACATCACACAAACCTATACTGTCACCATGGAAGGCGAGACAAAAGAACTCGTATGAAGAACACGGGCGCACTTGCACAAAAAATCACATGATTTATATCGCTTCACTCCACGGATGTGAGCTTTTGAGTCCACCTTGAGGACTCAGACTTTGCCACTTGGTGAACTTTAATCCGGCGTGAGCTCAAAATGATGCAAAATAATGTTTAGACGGTGTATAAACGGAAAAATACACAGCACATAGATCAATGAGTAAAAATTGACACCTTTCTGAAGACGAAAAAATACAGACAATTAAGCTAAATGAGCCACTGATGGTGATGTTAACAGATGAAACAAATAAGCGCTAAATTCGACAATAGTTTCTCTCTTTCACTGAACAAACAATGGACAACCATTGTGAAGACTGTCATGTAAAGTGTCTCTGGGAGGACAGATTGTGAGGAGGACAACGCCGAGTGTTTCCTCGTGAATTGATGGGGCACAACTGAAGCTAGCAAAGTCGATTGGGTGGACAGAAAGCACTGTTGGAGAAATATGTTCGATATAGACTACCCACCAGTGTTCGCATTGAGGAAAGTATCAAAAAGTGAGGAGCGCGCATATTCAATATAGAGTATCCACACTCCAAATGCTTCGAATGTGTGCGAGTGGGAGAGAGAGAGGTGGAAAATGTGGGGTGAGAGAGTGAGAGAAATATCAACAAACCCGGCAAATAATGGGGAAATGCTTTATGAGGTTGTTTGCCTGTGTGGGTGAATGTGAGCGAGAAGACAACATTTGTATAGATTTTCTGAGACCGGGGTGTCCTTTGGGGAGCAGCTATTGAGCTTAGATGGATTATCATGAATAGGCCGTCGCTTTTCGAAAGAACAAGTGAAAAGGTACAAAATACTGGGAAAAAAGATCAAAGATGTTCTAATTTCTATGGTATTTGTCGGATTTGTCTTTTCTGTGCATGCTTTCATGCAGATTTTGAAATAGATGGTCACATTTAGGATCCCAAAGCTTCCTAAATTGCTTTGGTTTATTATGGTGCTTAGCAATCGGAAAGAACGATTCTTTCACTTGAGCGACACTCAGAAGGAAATATCAATGTTACGAATAAGTTTGTGGGATGCTAAATATTGATCTTGAGGAGCATTGGACGCCTTAGCTCATTATATTAGGCAATTAAAAACATTTACAAATGCGTGTCACGCAATTGCCTCATGAGCAGCGATTTAGATCGTCGCCGGTGCAGGATTACACGCGTCTCATTATGAAGGAGTAGACGAGAGGCGAGTGGTTGAGGTAGGAGACTTTGTGTGGTTTCTAGATGAAAATACCGAAAATCACCTTTAATATTTGGATGAGAAATATGCCATATACGCACGCGTTCACTCCACGTGAGATTGGACAAATCATGCTAAATTTGGTGTCAGAGCCTCCCTTCGGCAGACACTTGGAAGGGTGTGTTGTAAGGGAATTTCAGGATATTGTATAAATAGAATGAGAATCACACTATTTTCTCACTCGAATTGATGCTTGTGTATCGCTATTTTTACCATCCATCTTATTTGTCTCATGCATTTTTCCTCTGCGTGAGGTCGCAGAGAAAATTTTCTCAGTCAGAAAATTGTGGGTGGAATGGGTATTTCACGACATCCATTCGTCACACCCTCAACTGTGCCAATAAGATTTTGCTGAGAACGTACAATGATGCATGTTCTATTGATCCATCACGTGTACAAAATCAATGTACATTGTGAAAGTGTTAGCAGTTTATTTGCACTTTATGACGCACTGAAGACTTGACTAATGAAAATTTATGATTTTCTCATGGGATGTCAGCGGTCAATTTTCCAATAATATATGTTTATTTGATAATAAGTATGATATAAATTTCTGGGAAAATCTGTGGGTTTTTGCACACCAGCAAACGCCGGAAGGTAGATGGAATGGGAAAGAAGAGAGCAGAGAAGAGTGTGTTTTGTCATTCTAGTCGAGACACCGAAGGAAACATTTCAAATGCAATACTGAAGACGCACGCTGATGATAATTTGGTGCCTTGGCTGAACAGATTATTCCGCCTTTTTAAAATTGGATTTGCCCATTCGTCAATGAATCGCATTCATGTGAAAAGGGGTGAAAGGTGAAAAAATTCCAAGCAGTGTAAATATTGGTTTGCCTGAAAAAAGAGGCTCCATAAAATTGTGCTGAGCAATTAAAATAGCGTCTATAATTCTTCTGATATTTACTGACAGATTATGAGCCCTATATTTGATAATGATGATAATATTGACGATGTGCGGTTGAGACACAGCGGAGACGAAGAGGTGTAGTTGGGAAAGAATATAAAAATGCTTTGGAATTTTTAAGGTGAAATTGTACTATGCTGTACAAAAAGTATGGGCAGGTTTTACGTCATAAAACGATACACTCAGATTTGCTTTAAAATAGATGATCTCTGAGAATGTTTCAGGTCTTTTTGAATAGAGCAGTTAATACACGATGGAAAATTATGACTCGTGCGTCTTTCCTATCGCATTTCTCCTTTTATTAATCATTCCTGCGTGAGCTTGAGAATGGGTTGAATGGAAGAGGAGTGGATGTTTAATGTTCACATAGTCTGTTTGTTTCACAATTCTCCGCAACTAAAGATTATGTCTCAAATCATTTCTTTTCCTGCTCCCAACAGAATAAGACATTTCACTGGATTAATTCATCATTGAGTGTATTTTGCAGTAAAGTGTTCATTTCGATTCCTAATGCTTGATCACTTCTTTTCAGCCATTCAACATTTTACCGTGGCAATAATGATCAATATAATAAATTTACACAACCTAATTAATGTGAGGGGATTATTAGACGATTTAATGCCTCCTTCCTATCGCTGGTGGAGTGTTTTATGGGTTTGTGTTTGGGAGAAAAAAGTGAGCAAATCGACGAAGAATGCAAGCCAACAATCGGTCCACCTGGTGAGACCTTAGAAGGTCACGGCCATATCAATTAGTAGACACTCAAATAAAATGCGGAGAGATCATTTCGGCAACAACGGGCAGAATGAAAATGTTTTCTTTCACGCATAAATTGCCAATAAAGCTTCCATTTAGCTCTTTGCCATCTCACAATCTCACATGGCGGAGAGAGAAGTGTCTGTGGGACACAGTTAAGCAGTTTCGGGCAAAATACCACCCAGCTGCGACTGATTGTGATGTCTCCACGACATAATCGCCGATGGGAGATTGTTTGGCGAATGAAAAGTGTCACTTGAGAAGTGTCTCTTCCTCATTTGCGAGCCAGCGTGTCGCCGAAAAAAACGCCAAAGTGGCTCTGATGGTGTGGACAAAGATGAGGCCATGCTGTCTGTGAGGTGGAATTGGCCAGCGCTGCTGTGCTGATAACACACACGAGAGATAATCATTGCTCAAAAGCCTTAATTGATTACAAACTACCCATGGCAAATTAATTCAAAAATTAACACACATAATTTGCATGGGATTTGCGTAAAGTGGATAATTTATTGATAATTATGTTCACGTCTATGCGTCATCGCGTCACTTTATGAGCTTCCTCAGGTGCCTTTTTTCTCTTTTTGCCTGCGTGATGCAAATTGATCTCATTTTTAATGGCTCTCCGGTGAAATCTCTCACATTTTTACCAAATGATTGTGCTTCTCTTCTGTGGAATTTTATATTTTGCTCAGTCAATAACACGTAATCAAATTTATTCTTAGAATACTGACGATGATCATTCGATGTGTTTACGGATTTCTGCAATACATGATCAATAATTAGGCAACATGACATCGTTTAAAGACTTACCATAACGATAATGAAAGGGTGAATTCATTTGCAAATTATTTGCCGCTTTAAGCAAACTTAAGTGATATTATTGCATTAGTGAAATAAGCAAGATGAGAGAAAGAGATTGGTTAAAAGGGAGGTTCGTTTTCAGTAAAGCCTCTTAACGCTCTTCCCAGCGCAAATGAGTATTAAAGATTAAAATAAAAAGGCTGGTAGAGACGCGAGAGAGGAAGAATGTCTTAATCCTCCATGTAAAGCTCATTTTAAACATGGAATAAACATCAATAACGTCGAGTGTTAATTAATTTTCGGCCTTGGAGATGCCGTTTCACTCTGTCTTTCTTTTCACTTCAAAAAAATCAATTGACAAGGGTGTAAATTTCAATTGGAATCCGTTGTAGAATTTCCTCCTTTTCTCACATACCATCTGTGCGTTGTGCATAGAGTTCATTTTCAATCCAGGAAAAAAGGTCTTTGCAAGCACAACATGATACCTGAAGTGATCCCGTTAAGTACACCTTTTAAATAGAATCTCTTACCTTTAAGCTTGTGTTCAGAAGTTTGTGAATAAACCCGTGGTGGTATTATTTGCAAACTTAACTTCAATTTCCTTCTTAATCCCAAACTCTTGTCTTTTCTATTGAAAATCTAGTTTAGCTAGTTTTTGTAAAGTGTTCATGTCCTTTGGTGAGGATTTAGCAGTCCTTGAGAGTCCTGCTTGTGATGCAGTTTTTCTGCTGTCAATTTTTAAGCGAAACTGTAATGGCAATACTCCTTCCTTTGCTAATTGTGAAACATATGCCAAATGACTATTGAAGCTTTAATCTGACAATTTATCCTCCTTTTAAACCCGCTCTCGTCTCTCTACAAGCCATATTTATATGCGAATGAGATGATCTTCGTGCCATTTGCAATGGTTTCTTTTTCGGGGAATTTAGTGATCATTTCATGGGAATGTCGATAGTAATTGTGGTTGAATGTGGTTCGAGGGCATATTTGTGGATGAAATTCTCATTTAAGCTTTTTGTTTGAATGTGAAATCACCTTGAGACAGCACTTAAGATGATTCTGGAAATTACTTCGATTATTTGGATTTTATTGATCTCTTTCAGGATGTTTTAATCATCCCATGTGAGATGTGAAGGGGGTGAGAAAGCTCTTGTGACCAGTGCTGAAGAGAGAGAGAGAGAGAGAGAGAGAGAGAGAGAGGTGGTCCTGGAGCACTAAAGTGATCTTCAAGTGATCACACGAGTTGAAAAACACCACAAAGTGGAGACAAAACTCGTTGGGAGAGATAAGGAAACAATTTCCATGATGGCTCTCAAGTGGCTCGGAATTGCAGTAGTTGTGTGGATTCCTCGACCTGGGAGAGACCCACGATCGCGTCTGCCACTATCAATCCCGATGAGATTCGGTGAGTTGTCTCTTCTAAGGAGAAGAGGAGATTGTTAATGTGCTCTACAAATCGTGAGAGATGCTATTTGACGGGGAGTTACTTACTGGCCATCGTCCAGAGACACTTCTTCTGACGCGATAAGGCGACAGGTGAGCTTGTAAGTAGTGTCTGATGCTTTATATGCCCAACCACGAGGTTGCTATCAATGAAATCCATTAGGTCCAGTATCGTGACAGTTTTATGACTGTCCAAGTTAATTTAGCTGAATTTCAAATGGATAATCTTAGCATTTGG